CTGTGAAAAATGACTCAAACATTCAGTGGATTTAATCAAGAGAGTTTACTTATTTATAAAAGTTTATTTTTATTTTTCTACATTTGAGCCTCAGACCTTATTCATTGTCTAGTTGAAGTGTGAAATTTATTGAGATGTGGTTACTTTGAACACTGATATAGGCAGATGGATCAAGTGTAATTTGATCATATGCTACTATGTTTATCCTGGACATTGTTTTTGTGTTAATAATCTAATGCTTTTTCATGTACTGCCAGTGAAGTTGCATTGTAATTCATGTTTCAGCCTTCACATTCGCAGGCTCACGTAACTTTTTAAAGGTGAATATAAATTTTAATATGTCAGAGTTTTGCACACTGAAACTGTACAAGTGCCAATAGTTGAATCGTAATTGTGACTCCAGGTTTAGAACGTAAGGTTTGGTTAGGTTATTGAATCTTCTTCAGTGTTGATATACAGAAATCAGTGAAGTATGTATTTGCAAATAACTTCCACTTGGAAGTATGAAGGAACCTAAGGCTCCTTTTAAAACAGCAGTTTTTGAAAGTGCCTTTTCATAAACTTAACAAAATCTTTACGTTTAAAACTTTAAGTCTGCTGAAGTACATAAAAGCTTGAACAAATCAAAAGCAAAATATGTTTCTGGGTAATGTACTTTTGGTTATAACATTGTTGTCTCTAAGTTGCCTTTTAAAATACGTATCTTAATAAAACTGTCAAACAGTGTTAATATTATTGGTGGGTGGTGGTATCTGGAACTAGACAGCAGATTCTGAAGTTCAAATGGAAAAAAATAGCAATAATAGGTTGGAAAACTGAAAAAGAAGAGTTGTAAGGTTGAGTTAATTCTATCAGATTTGAAAAATATAAAGTCTCAATAATTAAAACAATATTTTATTGGAACATAAATAGACCAGCAGACTAATGGAAATAAAAGATCAGATCGATTAAATCCATGCAGGAATTTAGTGTATGATAAAGGCATCATCTTGAATCAGTAGGGTAAAGATTAATAAATGGTATTGAGATAATTAGCCAATTATAAGAGAAATCAACTTAGATTCATGTCTCAAGTGTATCAAACATTTAAATGTAAAAAATAAAACTGAAACATTACCAAAGCCTATCTGTGAAGTAGAAAACATCTTTTAGCTATTATTCAAAATGCAGAAGCCATAAAGTAAAAGGCTTATAAATTTGACAACCTGATAAAAAAAGAAAAGGAAGTAACTTGGATGATGAACAAAACAGAGTAAAGGCAAGCAAGTGAAAAAGGGAAAAACCTACCATAAGGAAAATTAGAAGACAAATGATATCCTGGGAAAACAGATTTATGGGATATAGGACCAGCTGGTAATGTTTCTATATAAAGAATTCCTATAAATAAAGACAGGAGAACTACTCAGTAGAAAATTGGGTGAAGGATAAGAGCAGGGAGTTCACATACAAATGGCATTACACATTTAATAAGATTCTTCCTCTTATTCATAGTAAAGGAAATGAAAATAAAAACTGTATTGTGATTTTAGTTCTTTTCTTTTAGATTGGAAAAACCCAAATATTGAGTGGCAGTACTTTGCTGTTGAAGTGAGTGAAATGATATCCATGGAGGATAATCTGGCAGTATCTACCAAAACTTTATGTATATATGTTTTGACCCAGCAGTTCCATTGGCAATGTCATTAACAGATGACTGGTTAAATAAGCTATGGTATATTTCCACACTGGAATACTGTGCAGCTATATTTAAAACAGAATGAGGAAGATTTCTAAAGATAGATGAAAAGATTCTCTATGATATTAATGGAAAATCAAGGGCAGAACTGAATCACTTTTTCGAAAGAGAAGAGGAGAAAGAATATGCTTATATTTGAAAAAAAAATATGAGAAGGACAATAGTAAACCAATAAAAATGATTTTACTTACTGGCAGTGTATGGAGGTGCGGGAAAGGGTAGTTAAAGACAGAGTGGGACCTAGATTTCTTCGTGTCAATGAAAATTCAGTTAACAGTCAAGCTAAGAAGAAATAAAGAGAATTTTATTTGAGCCAAATCGGGGGTTTTAACCTGGGAGACAGATTTTCATAAATTTTGAGAATTGTTCCACTGGTTGGCTCTTACACATTTTTGAGACAATCATGTATCATATTGGCAAGTTAAAATTATAAATAAACTTCATCAGAGATATTTTGAGAGTCAGGTATGAATGCATAGAATGAGCCTTTAGTCAGTGTGATCCCCTGTACAAGATGAAATATTAATCTTAAAAATTACAGTGCTGGCATCAGAAGAAAGGGACTGTTTTCTCAAAGGCTGATTGCATCCTCCTGCCTTGAGGGAATCTGGTTAATGTATAACGCAGATACACATTGAACACTGGGAAAGGCATATTATATGTATTTCAATTCTGACTTAGTTTCATTATCCTGTTGTAGAGAAGATAAGATATTGTGCATAGATGTATACGTAAAAGCTCTCTCTCTCACACACACGCACACACCTTTTTCCCAGATATCAACTTCCCAGATAAACAGTATCTTTTCTCTTTCCCATTCTGAAGTTACAACTTTTTTGAAACAACAGCAACTTCATTGTAAGATGGTCTAGTGAGGGGACATGGCACAGTAGACATTAACCTTCCAGCATCAGAAGTTATGCTTTAGTCTTGAAATTATGTACGTTTGTCCCTTTCTTGCCTCTAGCAAATTGCTTCTTGATTAAGAGACTGGACATGTATAGTTACCTTAGTTTGGAATGTCTTTCTTGTCCCTCTCATTCTTCTTTCACTTTAACTCCAATGCTTTTTCATAGTCCCAGTTTAAATGTCACTTTCTTGATCTGCCCAGATTAACTTCTTTCTTGGAAAGTTTATATAAACATCATTGCTCTTTAACATCTTCATCTGTAAAATGGGATTAGTATTAGTACCTACTTCATAGAATTGTGAGGAATAGAAGAGTAGATACATGTAAACCAGAATAATACCTGATCAAATACTAGGTGCTGTTTGAGTTAGCTGCTGCTGCTGCTGCTAAGTCGCTTCAGTCGTGTCCGACTCTGTGCGACCCCATAGACGGCAGCCCACCAGGCTCCGCCATCCCTGGGATTCTCCAGGCAAGAACACTGGAGTGGGTTGCCATTTCCTCCAGTGCATGAAAGTGAAAAGTGAAAGTGAAGTCACTCAGTCGTGTCTGACTCTCCGAGACCCCGTGGACTGCAGCCAAGCAGGCTCCTCCGTTTAGGGGATTTTCCAGGCAAGAGTACTAGAGTGGGGTGCCATTGCTTTCTTCGATATGAGTTAGCAATTGCTATCATCATTATTACTTTTATTAGACATATTTGAAATATATATTTAACTATACTAATTTGTCTAGCTGTTTGTTAAATGTTTCTTTTGCCTGTTAGATTTTTAGTTCTACAAGGAAAAGAACTGTTTTATTCACTTCTTTTGTTTAGTACTTGGTACACATAGTACTCTACTACTTTTGTATGTGTGCTAAGTCACTTTCAGTGGCGTCTGACTCCTTGTGACCCCATGGACTGTAGCCCACTAGACTCCTCTGTCCATGGGATTCTCCAGGCAAGAATACAGGAGTGGGTTGCCACTTCCTCCTCCAGGGGATCTTCCTGATGCAGGGATCAAACCCGAATATCTTATGTCACTTGACTTGGTAGGCGGGTTCTTTACCTCTAGTGTCACCTGGGAAGCCCCCAAAAGTGAAAGTGTTAGTCACTCAGACTGTCCCTGGGATTCTCTAGGCAAGAATACTCGAGTGGGTTGCCATTCCCTTCTCTAAGGGATCTTCCTAACCCAGGGATTAAACTTGGGTTTCCTGCGTTGCAGGCAAATTCTTTACTGTCTGAGCCACCGGTTTTGTTGACTGATAAATGGTGGTTTGCAATAGTAGGTAAGTTAGGCCAACTGGGTTTGAAGAATGAACAATTGGTAACTATGATTAACATTTCAGTTCTTTTAGGAGTATCAGGGATCCTCGTGGGTTTCAACTTTGGTAGTTATGAGTAGTGAAAGCTCTAGAACCTGTTGTGGAGGGGTAGGAAAATAAAATGAATAAAGCAAAAAATTGAAATACATTCTTCTTCCATACTGGACAGTACAACGTCCTGGTCTTAACCTCAGCTCTTACTGAAAATATAACTGTCCAATACATGGGTACATTCTTATTTCAAAAGTTTAGACCTACATATATGTGTGTGTGCTCAGTCACTTGGTCATGTTTGTCTCTTTGCAAGCCCATGGACTATAGCCCGTCAGGCATCTCTGTCCATGGGGTTTCCAAGTGAGCTAACCATTTCCTTTTCTAGGAGATCTTCCCACCCAGGGATCAAACCCATGTTTCCTGCATTGGCAGGCAGGTTCTTTACCACTGAACCACCAGAGAAGCCCACATATATATGTACATACGTTAAAATATGTCTCCTTTGCATTTCTCTTCAGATTCCTACATCTTCCAAATTTGTTTCCATAAAAATATGTTACTTATATTAGCTTATAATGGATATATTGTTACATTTAAATAAATTTATAAATATCTAAATTTTCTCTTTTTATTTCCAATATGGGAAAATACTGGTAAATATATGTTACATAAAAAATGCCTTTGGGATTATAAAATGTTTTTAAAAGCTTGAAGAGATTTTTGAGATCAAATAGTTTGAAAACTGTTGCAGTATATAATTAAGTCCCTAGCAATGAGCATTGTGTAGATCATTATAATATAGAAAAATTCTCCTGGTTCAATAATTTTTATGAGAAAAATACAGTAAAAAAAAAAACAACTCCACAAATATTATCATAGTTATGAGATAAAGAATAGAAAACTGTTCTGGAGAAAATACAATAAAAAGCAATTAACCATTATGTTATAGTTATATTATTTTACATTATTTCATCCTTGGTTTTTCCAAAAATTTTTATGCCTTAATTTAAATATGGTGGAAAATATGTTAAAATATGAATGGGAATAATGTCTCCATTTCAGAAACTCTGTAGTGATGCTCAAGTTAAAGTGTTTGGGAAATGCTGCCAGCTGAAACCTGGAGGAGACAGTTCTTCCTCTTTAGACAGTTCCATGACTTCATCTTCGGATGTAAAAGACCAGTGTCCTAAGTATCAGGTAAGATCGCTGGTGTCATTTATTCATTTATTCGCAAGTATTTTTGAGTACCTACAATGTGTTGTGTATCATCCTCAGGACTGAGATATAACCAAAACTAGCCCTTACCCTTCTGGAGCTTGTAGTGTAACTGGAGAGACAGTAGTTAAATAAGTAAGTTTATGAACTTTGATAGGATAGGGGAAGTATAGAGAACTTCAGGCACAGGTAGCCAGGGGTATTTTCTCCTCTTTATTTCCCATTTCATATTTTTTTAGACCACCAGAATCATTTCTTATTTATGTGCTTTGAAATTGTTGAAATACTAAGTTAAATATAAAATAATAGAATTCAGCTTTGGTAGGAAATGTTTTCATTTTTGAAAATTAATGTGGCTCTTCTTTTAAACTGTAGAATTAACCAGTGAGTTGACTACATAGGAACTTCTCTATAAACTTAAGATTTAGCTACTAAACAACAGCAACAAGTTCTTTTATTTCGCATAAGATCAATACTTGGTTTCCAACTAAGCAGATGTCATCTAATGTGAATTTATTTTCATCATTCAGGCTTGCATGAATGAAGCATAGGTATATTATATTTAGCAGTACTAAAGTAGAATCCTGGATTTTTAAATTGTTTATAGTGAAGTTAATTGTGTCTGGATAGAAACTAACCCTTATACGACATGAACATAATGGTATATGTGGAAGAGATTTGAGTCATAAAAATCCAGATGTTATGAGGTACTGCATAGTTCTCTCTGCTCTTCTCTATTCCTCTTCCATCTTAGGTATGACACCCTAACAGGTTCTTAATAGTGCTGTGCGATGTAGGATCATCATACTTAGGCCAGTTTGCAAGTTTTCTCATTTCATCAATTGTAGAAACCTTTCTTTCTAATGTTATTCAGTTAAATATGAGTATTAGCAAATGGATCCAGATGGTAGAAACGCTGAGGCAGTGTGTGATTGTAATTCTCATTTTGCATAAAAAATTCCTAAAGGGTTTTTAAGTGCTGATTCCCAGGTCATATGTCCAGATGTTCTGACAGTAGGTTCATTATGGTCTTGGAAATCTTTTTTTTTTTTTAGCAAGAAAGCATTGAATTATTATAACATATAGTTCACTACACTTGATAAAATGGTATTTCAGGTAAGTAGAACATTATCTTTGATTTACAGGGTATTGCAGATTATTGCATTCAGCAGTGAATACTTAGAAAGAATTGATCTTTCAAATAAAAAAATACTTTTTAAAAAACATTAAAGAAAATAACTTTTTAAATTATAACCTTAATTATAGATTATATCACATTAAAATATATAACACATCAGTGACAGTCATGATAACTATTTGGTATGAGAACAGGTAGAGAGAACCTTTGATAGCAAGCTATTGATGCCTGGTTTTATAAAATTTAGGTACCAATTTATTTTTACTGCATTTTTCCTCTGGCGGATTCTTTTCTACTTTTATATTAAAATGTATAGATGCTTTGATATTTAAATTTGTGTAGCTTGCTTAATAGAAGAAATACTATTTTTAGTCAAAATAAAATAGGTTTGATGCATTGTAACAGAAATGAGCTTGTAAGAGAAAATTCTCCTTTCTGTCTTTATCCAGAAGCAATTTAGGTTGCCAAGAAAGATTAGTATAGTTGATCTTAAAAGAAAAACAGACTACTTCATAATTTAAAAAATTATTCTACTCTTTCTAAACTGTTCTTAATTCCCAAACTTCTGGCCTGGAAAGAAAATTTTTGTTTTAACCAAAATCCAAGAATAGACGAGTTGATTCTTTTAGTAACCTAGGTATTTCAAAAGTGACTTTTTTTCCTTAAAAAATAACTTTGTGCCTTTATTAAAACAAAATTAAGACTATAGCACCAAGGAAGAAAAAATGTCAATGAATGTATCAAAACAAATATAAAAAATAATATGTATAATGAAATGGATTGCTATTTGAAATTGCTCTTAAGAAAGATGACAGAATGTAAATAAACAGATTTTTGAACCCAAGGCAGGTAGTAAACAAGCAGAAGAGTAAAAGGAATCACATTATATTTATTCCTGGCTTCCACTTGTAAAATGGGGGTCCTCATCACTTTACTGTTATCTTTAGAAGAATCTTTTAATTATTTTTAAGTGTGAAGTGAAGTGTTAGCTATTCAGTCGTGTCCGACTCTTTGTGACCCCATGGATGGTAGTCCATCAGGCTCCTCTGTCCATGGAATTCTCCCGGCAAGAGTATTGGGGTGGGTTGCCATTTCCTTCTCCAATTATTTTTAAAAACTCCTCTAATTTTTTATTTCCCATGGTAGAATGACTTAGTGAAATTTGTGCATGATCCTTATTTGGTATCTTAGTTATTAGGTCCTCTTCCTTATCAGTTGTTTTATTATATAATTGTATTGGTTAGTAATTGCATTGGGTCATCCTGTGAAACAGTGATTTTCTTCATATGGCAAGTCTGGAGAGAGGCCATCTAGGCATGATAATGTATGGGCTTCAAGATGGCCTCAGAGACTGAGGCTTGCTTATCTTTCTACTTATACAGAGCTAACAGGTACGTACTTGTTGCCTTGTTGTCCTCTTATAGCATCTCCATCTATAGTGATTTCTATTTATATTCCATTGATCAAGACTGTGTTGGATGCATATAAATGGATAGTTCTGAAAGCTACCACTATAACCATTGGTTTAACTCTTTGAATATAGAGACCAACTCTAAACTTCCTATCTGCAAGGGAGGCTCTGAAATGCAATTTTTTTCAGTTGGGCACATTGCTTCCCTGAAATAAATTGGACTTCAGAAAATAAGGAATAAGATATTTGATGGGTTGGTGGGTAACTAGTAGTATTTGCTATAGTATCTAAATAGTAACCAAATGGATGAGTCGGGTTTTAGATTTTTTTTGACTCCTATAAGGGCAATTAAAGAATAATTGAAAGAAATAACTTTTAAAACAGAATTCTTTATAAACAAGACATTCTGATGTTTAAAGTAAGTGTTTTTTAAAGAATGTAAAATATGTCAAAATTACTGTTTTTGTGATTGCCTGTTTTTGTACAGTAGTAATGATAAAATCTGTTATGCATGTTCAGTGCATTCTACTTCTTGTTATCTGTCCTGGAGAAACATTGCATATGCATAATATATGGTTAAAATATTTATTTGAGCATTATTTGTAGTAGCAAAACTCAGGAAGTGACTTAAATACCTGTCAGTAAGGGGAACTGGCTTGATAAACTGGTGTTTTCATATAGCAGAACACTACGCAACTCTTAAAAAAACTATGTAACAATATGCTTAGATCTGTAAGACAGTGTAAAGTGAAGAAAATCAAGCTGCAGAACAGTATATACAATGTAAAATAACTAAAACAAACATTGTGTAGAATAACTGCAGTGAGAGCTGTGAAACTGTGTGTGTGTGCTCAGTCGTGGACTGTAGCCTGACAGGCTTCTCTGTCCATGGTATTTTCCAGGCAAGAATACTGGAGTAGGTTGCCATTTTCGCCTCCAGGGATCTTCTAACCCAGGGACTGAACCTGGATCTCCTGCGTTTCCTGCAGTACAGGCAGATCCTTTTCCACTGAGCTATTGGGGAGAAATTTTTAATAAAAATTAGTATTCAAAATAGGTTTTAAATTCAGCAATTTTGTTAATGTTTATGCTTGTTGTTTAGGGTTCTCGGTGCTCTTCTGATGCCAATATGCTTGGAGAGATGATGTTTGGCTCAGTAGCAATGAGCTACAAAGGATCCACCTTAAAAATTCATCAGATCCGGTGAGGGTTTTTTGATTTTTCTTAATGAATCCATTTAAAAATACTCAGTTTTTGTTAAAGATGGGAGAATTTCTTATAGCCTCCACTCAGAGCATGCCAGATAGTCAGTTAATGATGTTCTATGGGTTTAATGCTACTTCATGGCTGTTGTAACTATGGTATAACATCTCTGTGACTTAAACATTTTTATATATAATAAATTGAAAAGATCCTTGTGTTTCAGATTTGATTTCTGTCTCTCCGTCTCTTTTTCTTCCTAGTTCCCCTCCACAGCTCATGCTCAGCAAAGTTTTTACTGCACGTACTGGCAGCAGCATCTGTGGAAGTCTCAATACGTAAGTAGTTATGGGTGAGAGGAGAAAGAAATTGTTTAAGATCTGCGAAGTATGAAAGCTAGTAAGCTGCTTTTAGGACTGCAGTGTAAATTCAGATTTTCTTCTATCCCTTAGGTTTGAAAGTTAATGGAAGCCAGATTTTCCCTCCTAGCTCTATTGAAATTTGATATAGTTTTGTGTTGCAGAATGATTACTCCCATAGCCTTAAGTAACACTGCCATCATCACATAATTGCCATTTCTTTTTTTGTGGTGAGAATTTTTCAAGATTTACTCTGTTAGCAACTTTCCAGTATTGATAATGCAGTATTATTAGTTAGTGGTACATTAGACACCCAGAACTTGTTAATTTTATAACTGAAAGTTTGTACCCTTTGACCATTATGTTACCTTTTCCTCTCCTCCCAGTCCTTGGTAACCATCACTTTGCTCTCTGTTTGGATTTTTATTTTTAAATTAAAACAAGTTTTTAAAATTTGTATTTATTTTAATCTTTTGGTTGTGCCTCATAGCTCCCAGTATGTTAGCTCCACATTCTGAAGGACCAACTATGTTGTTGCAAATGGTAGGCTTTCCTCTTTTTCTCATGACTGAATACTACTCCAGTGTCTATACACACACACACAAACACGACAGTCTTTTTTATCCATTCATCTGTTGACAAACACTTGGGTGTAACTATTCCAATAAAATTTTATTTGTAGAAACAGGCAGCAGGCTTAATTTAACCCTCAGGTTGTACCCAACCCCTGATTTAAATGACTAGTTTATAGTACTGATAGGGAAACTTAAATATAATGTTTTACACTTAAAATTTTATTGAGATATACAAAGAATTACCATTAAGAACATAAAATAGATTTGGTATTCATTTTTTTCCTCCTTCGCCCTAGGCTTCAAGACAGTCTTGAATTTATTAATCAGGACAACAGTACATTAAAGGCTGATAATAACACAGTCATTAATGGACTACTTGGAAATATAGGTAAAATGGTTTTGTATGTTTTAAAAATGTTCTTACTAATGTATATCTGTTAGAACACCAAAGGATTTCAAATACTAGAAGTGCAAAAGGGACTTAAATTGCAAGTATTTATAATATTTGTATTATTTGAAAAATATAATTTTCTTATATTTGAACATAGAATTTATTTTGTATCTGAAAAAAGGGGGATGCTGAAGAAATATCTGATTTGTTTTTAGTTTTTAATTTTGATGCCTCTTTGAAAAGTTGGTGTAAAAAAAAAAAATTTGATGCCTCTTTTGTTGGTATAAAAAGCCCTTACTAGTTCTCTTGACTAGTTCAGCTGAGGTAGACAGGGATTATACTTTCTCTCTTTCTGTTTCCACAACCATATAAAATAATTTTAAAATGGTGCTTGTTTTTGTGACTTGTAATTCAGATGAGCAGATATTCAAAATTGATGTTTCTTAAGAGATTTATTATTATTGTAGCTCATTTGGTAATTTGGTTAGTTTGTTTTTATTGTTTGAAAGTGAAAGTTGCTGAGTCGTGTCTGACTCTTTACCACCCCGTGGACTGTAGCCTGCCAGGCTCCTCTCTCCATGGGATTCATCAGGCAAGGATACTGGAGTGGGTTGCCATGTCTTCCTCCAGGGGATCTTCCCAACCCAGGGATCCAACCCAGGTTTTCCACATTACAGGCAGATTCTTTACCAACTGAACCACCAGGAAAGCCCAGGAATACTGGAGTGGGTAGCCTGTCCCTTCTCCAGGGGATCTTCCCGACCCAGGAATTGAACCGGGGTCTCCTACATTGCAGGCGGATTCCTTACCAACTGAGCTACTGGGGAAGCCCTTTGTTATTTAAGTTCAGCATTTTAAAGTGACAAACTGTTTCTAAAATTTCTGGTACTTTGTTGTATTTTAGGAAGATCAGCTAAATTACTTCTGACCATATTTCCAGTACATAAAAAACTGTAGTATGTCTGAGTAGACAGCAGTTAGCATAGGCTGAATATTTTCCTCATTCCCTGTTTAGTAAAAACTTTCATTTGTAATTTCAATCAGTAGATATAAGTTATACATATTAGTTGAAAAGTTTTTTTCTCCCAGCTCTAACATAGCATGTATTTTTAATAATTCATGTTCATTCAAATAACAACCATTTATTAACTACCTACAGTGGGCTAGTTACAGTGTCTGACATGTGATTTAGAAAGCATGCATTTTAAAGAAAAATAGAAGTTCTACTGTTTCTTAACTCGATTGTTTCATTCATTTTAATAAAGTAAAAGTATGACAGATGTGTTTTTTTAAAATAATTTGACACTTTTCAAAGTTAAAGGGGCTTATTAAAAGCTGTTTAATAATACAAATTCATTATCATGTATAAAGGTAAAGTACAGCATAGATACTAGATATACTTAGCTTTTCTGTTTTAATATGGAATACAAAAGTAATACATTTAACAAAGCATAGACTTTTTCATGAACAGCTTTTTCTTGTACATTCTTAATTGTGAATCAAGGATATTTGAATATCATTTCTTATTTTCTTTAAATTTTCAATGAATCAACAAATTCTTATCAAGCACTTACTATATGCCAGGTACTCTGCTAGGCCATGAGAAAGCAGTGGTGAACACAGTTTCTGCCTCAGTGGATTTATAGTTAGTGAAATTGTATACTGTGATACAGTATTCAATTATAGTATACTGTAGTTAATTCTTGGGTAAGACTAAGAGCATGATGTGTTGGAAATGAGCAGGAACACCATGTTCAGTTTTAGAGAGACAGAAAAAGCTTTCTTAAGGAAGTGAGCTTAAACTTGAAGAATTTGCCTGACAGTTGGGAGAAGAAATGTCTAGGAAAAAGCAATAGCATGTTCATAGATATAAGTGCAACAGATACACTGAGTGTAGAAAGAATGTGAATAAATCAATGTGGGTGGAGCACAGTGTGAATATGAGTTAAAGGAAGTGAAAAGAAGTAAAGAAATGAGCAAGAGTCAGATCATGATGGAGATTGTGGGCCACCACAGTGAGAAGTTTCAAGTTGTTCTTTGAGCAGTTGGGTGCCAGACAGAATGTGTTAGTTTGGGTCTTCCACCTGATTTTTAACAGGTTCCGAGACAAGATTAAACATGCACAGATTTTAGTATTAATAAATAATAATATTTATTATTATTTAGTGAGAGAAATGAAGAGGAATCTGGGAAGGGTTCAGAGAACCCTCAGATTATGGTGTAAGTTTGACCTTGATTGAAAGAGAGGAATAAAAGCTTGAGCGGACATGTTTCAGCATGCCACACTAGTCCAGGGGAGGTTTGATAAGGCTGTGGACAAGTCTTTGAGTTGTACTTGGTTGTCAGAAGTGACCCATGTCTTGCTAAAATGGGCTTTACCTTGTCATACCTGCTGTGTTCAGTCATTGACTAGGAGCACGCTGTGGGGTATGTGACCTTGCCCAAATCTGGCAATGGATTTAAAAACACAGCAGCTGGGGTGCTTGGCCAGTTTCCATTCTTATAGCTGGAGAGCTTTGTGGTGCATTCTCAAGGCCACCACAGAGGAGTTTTCAGAATATAGAAACATGATCAGATCAGATTTGTATCTCCAAAAGAACATTCTAATTGCTTTGGAAAATGACTCAGATGAGCCAGTGGATTTGAGAAAGGACCCGTGTTAGAAGACTGCTTATAATAGTCCAGGGGACACAATGGGGACCTAGAATAAGATTGTGTCAGTGAGGATAAAGAGTTGTTGAGAAGTTTGTTGGGAAAAGTACACCAGTGATAACATGTAACCCCATGAAAGGGTTGCAGGGTCCCTGTAGAGGGTCCTTGGACCACATTTTCAGAACTGTTGAACTACAGGATTAGATATATGGGGAGAAGGGAGAAGAGTTCTGACGGTATTTAAATGTTGATGGAAAAGGAGGTTTATAAGGAGAATGAGATTGGAAATAGAGGTGATACTGGTAAAGTGAGATTTTTGAAAGGTCTAGCTGATGTAGAAGAATAAGCTTTGAAAGGGAGGGAGAGAGGGACATCTCAGGATTTTTCACTAAGGCCTCACACAAAGAAAGGCTTGAATAGTGTTACCTGTTATCGCTGCTCAGGCAGGAAGGAGGCAGGGATGAGTAAGAATTAAGTCTGGAGATAGTAGTGTAGGAAAAGGAAAGTTCCCATATCTTGATTCTTCCTGTGTACATGCATACACATATGCATACTGTAGGAGACAAAGTCATATACTCAGAGTAAGGAAGAGTAAGGAATGAGATTAAAGAGAGCAGGTAAGTTTTGAGGTAAATAGGAAAGGTGGAAGAAAGAACTGAACAATGAAACATGGAAGGATTGCTGCACATTCACTGTAATTATAGAAACTCTTGTTATAGAAAAATACATATTAACAATTTAAAAATATATTTGTCACTTTTTAAAACAGTGAAGCTGTCAGTTCTGTGCTAGATCAACCTCCTAGGTGGCTCTTTAGGCCATCTGGATTAAACCTAACTAAAAAGTAACTCAGGTGCTTGCTTCCAGGCTGTAATGTTATGCTTTCTTGGTCTTAAGACTCTTACCTTCTCTTGGTCAAGTGTGTGGCAGCTACTACCTTGAGCAGCTGGGAGTCTGGCCCTGACAGCCTGCATTGGCTTTCCTGCTTCCATAGTGGCTGACCTCTGCTCTAGAACTCTGGTTTCTCCCGTTAATTTATCACTAGTTTAGAAAAATCAGATTCATACTTATTTGTTAGTAGACCCCTTTTCTTTATTTGCTCTTTGTTTTATGTTGTGTTTGGTTTTTTCAGCCAAGCGCTTAGGTGGTTTTCTTCTTAATTTTAGTTAGACAATACTGTAATATTAAAATTGACTTTTTAAATGATAAATTCATTTGGCAAATATCAAATTATGTATATAACATCACTGTGCTTTTTTAATCTTTAAAAATTTTGTTTTAGATGAGAAGGGATTGGACATTTAAAATAATTTTTACCTTGTATAGTGGAAGCTTATTTTATTACTATATGTGGACTTAATAGGTATGAAATTGTTATGGTGTCATAAGCCATGGCCAGAGGGGAAACCATCCTGTTTCAAAAATAGGAAGTCAGCTTGAATTATTCTTACTTAGTTTAAAGATTTCCATTCATATCTGTTGGTCTGCTTTTGTGCTGCCTTAGCTCACCTTTTATTCCTGACGCATTGTGGCTTCTCTAACAGCCCTCTTTCATATGTATTTTACGTTTTTGCCATGTAGGTCTTTCACAGTTCTGCAGCCCCAGGCGGGCATTCTCTGAACAGGGTCCGCTCCGCCTGATCAGGAGCGCCTCTTTCTTTGCAGGTTTGCCATGTGCTGTGTGGGTAGACTAGTTGGTGTGCCCCAGCGGCTAGAATTCATAGTTACGCCGTGGAAACAAGAGAGCAGAGAAATGCTTTTGGGGAAGGTGTGCAGTAAAGAAAATGTTGCTTAGAAGTTTCAGAACTTAGTATCTTTCTATTGAATGTGTTACTAAGGCTTCCAGAGGCTGAGTTATCAGTAGAAGTGACGTTTCGGTGAGATTTGAGTGTGTCACTTCTTGCCTCGTTATGTAATAGTGATTTTAACTTTAGAATCCTAAACCAAAATACAGTATGAACATTATTTCTTAAAATACCAGTTGAATTTCTAATGTGATACTATCTTGTTTCCATGGCTGAGTAGCTTTTGTATCATATAGTTCATCAATCACAGAAAATACTCTTACTGTTGTGCAATTTCTGATCTACACTATTCCATAAGAATGATTTCTCTTGGAGCTAAGATTTAGATGAACAAGCACTGTTATATTCTATAAAAGGCATCTCTGACTATATTTCTTTATATTGATATCACTAAATAGATGATTGTAGACTGTGTTCATGCTTCTGTATCCAGGAAGTTGTATCCAACTTCTTGTTTTAATTAGTATATATTTTCCTTAGAAATATAAGTAATGTATATAAATAATAGAAAATTTGGAAAATACAAGAAATAGGCAAAAAATATGTATTAGCCATCTTGTCAACTGGAAATAACTCCTTAGTTTTTGTTTGTTTTAAAAAGAAATTAGGATTATACTGTTCAGTTATCTTTATTTTTATTGTAGAATTTTAAAACATACTTTTATATAGGCAAAACAGTAGATTAACCATCATATGCCAATCACTTAGCCTCAGCAACCATTGTTCTTACTGGTCAGTAGCTTGCCTTTTTATCATTTAGTAGTATATTGTGAATATATTCATGTCATTGAATGTGCTTTCTAAAATGCTTATTTTAGTCACCCTTTGCTTCTTTATATTTTATGTCACAGATTGTTTTCACATAGATCTCGAAGCTTGTTCAACTGAATAATAGCTCTTGGTGTTGGGTTTGTGCCATGCTGTTGAAAAAAATAAAGGAATGCAATGAGATGAGCATGATTTAGTTTGCTATTTTAAAAGGAACATCAACCTGAACAGCACTGTGTTTTATAAGTCACAGTTTTATCTTGATTCACAGTTCACAGCAACCCAATGGACATGCCTGGAAGAGAACTGAATGAGGACAGAGACAGTGGCATAGCACGCTCTGGTAATGACAGGTTCATGTATTAATCTGTATTTTTATGAGATCACTGTTTCCTGACATTGATTTCCTTTTTAATCTTTGTTTTAATCATTTAATTTTATGTGTACAGTTTGTTGGTATTGATATTAGCCTAGCAAGAGAATTGTAGAAACAGCAGAGATAAGTATTTTAAATTAAAATTTTTTTCATGTTTAATAGTAAAAATCTGCCTGATGGAGCATGGCCTGAATGAATATACACTCAGTCAGAAAAATAGTATTGCTCAAGAGACTGCTTAAATAGCATAGTAGAAAAAATGTATTTGCTTATATCTGTTTTCTCCTAACTGGGTTTAAAATGTCAGATTGTCTCTTGCCCAGAGAAACTTAGGTATTTTGAACCAGTGTTATACATATTCTTCTGAGATATCTACTCTTCCAAAATTTGTCTGACAAAATTTTATTGAAACATTCTGAGGATTTAAGAAAAAACAAAAAAACAGCCACCCAGATTATATCCTTAAAGAGCACAGGTTTTAATGAGAGATTAGTGAGAAAAATAATCTTATTGTGTGAAGTGTTCTGTGATAAACCTGTGCAGAGAGGTTCATCTAAGCTTGGAGACAGTGTCATCACCAAAGGAATAAAGAGTTGTTTCAAAATAGCATTTTCTTCTGGAGTAGGGTGGGAAAAAGTGAGGATGGCAAAAGGGTATGAGGATCTCTTACTGAATTACTTTTATTATGTGATTTTTTTTTTCTGGGACCTTGCTCCAACAATGATATATATTTTTTAATGGAGATTTTAGAGCTTCATTCAGCAAAATGGAAATTTTGAGTCACCATTATTAAATTTGTTAACAAGAAATTTGTTCCTGTTTTTAGTCATTATTAAATTTAAAATTATACTTGTTCTTATTCTGACTTGACAGCATCTCTCAGCAGCTTGCTTATTACACCATTTCCCTCTCCAAACTCCTCACTTACCCGAAGTTGTGCCAGCAGCTACCAGCGACGCTGGCGACGTAGCCAAACAACAAGTTTAGAGAATGGGGTATTTCCTAGATGGTAAGTTGGAACTTTTATTTTACCACAAGATTGAATAGTTCCTTAAACACAATTTTGTATGTTAAGAGCCTGGATTTGTATTTTGTTTTTTTAAAGTCTACAACTGGAAAATTTTACAGTGTATTACTTTTTAAAAAAATTGTGTTGTTACACATACCATGCAATATACAATTTTAACCATTATTAGCAGTGTAGTTCAGTGGTGTTAAGTACCTTCACATTGTTGTGCATCCATGACCATTCACATTTAGAACTGCTTTTATCTCCCCCAACTGAACCCCCCATGAGTCCATGGGGTCACAAAGAGTTGGACATGACTGAGCGACTGAACTGAACTGAACCACTGTAGACATAAGGCAGTAGTTTCCCCATTCTTCCTCCCTTTAGCTGCTGGCAACTACTGTGCTGTATTTTTCTTTGTAAATTTGACTGCTCTGCTGCTGCTGCTAAGTCACTTCAGTCGTGTCCGACTCCTTGTGACCCCATAGACGGCAGCCCATCGGGCTCCCCCGTCCCTGGGTTTCTCCTGGCAAGGACACTGGAGTGGGTTGCCATTTCCTTCTCCAATGCATGAAAGTGAAAAGTGAAAGTGAAGTCGCTCAGTCGAGTCCAGCTCTTAGCGAGACCCCATGGACTGCAGCCTACCAGGCTCCTCCGTCCATGGGATTTTCCAGGCAAGAGCACTGGAGTGGGGTGCCAGTGCCTTCTCCATTGACTACTCTACATACCTCATATAAGTGGAATCATAAAATATTTATCCTTATATCCTCAGAAGTGGAATTCCTGTATTGTATCATATTCTGTGTTGAAGTTTTTGAGGAACTGCCATATTTTTCACCAGAATGCCCCACCATTTTACTTATATTCGCACTAAAAATGGCCAGGTTTTGTGTTTTTTTTTAATTGTGCCAAACTGCATGCTGGATCTTAGTTCTCTGACTAGGGATTGAATCTGTGCCCCCTTCATCGGAAGCTTGAATTCCTAACCAGTGGACTGCCAGGGAATTTCACTCCCCTGCCCCATCCCTTCAGCCCCCGACTAGAAATGCACAAGAGTTCTAATTTCTTCACATCCTCACCAGTAGTTAATTTCCATTTTTAAAATTAATAACCATCCATATGGATGTTAAATGATATTTCATTGTAATTTTGATTTGCATTTCTCTAATGGCTAGTGATTGGAAGGAAAGTTTTGACCAACCTAGATAGTATATTAAAAAGGAGAGACATTACTTTGCCAACAAAGGCCCGTCTAGTCAAGGCTATGGTTTTTCCAGTGATCATGTATGGATGTGAGAGTTGGACTGTGAAGAAAGCTGAGCACCGAAAAATTGATACTTTTGAACTGTGGTGTGTTGTTGGAGAAGACTCTTGGAGAAGTCCCTTGGACTGCAAGGAGATCCAACCAGTCCATCCTAAAGGAGATCAGTCCTGGGTGTTCATTGGAAGGACTGATGCTGAAGCTGAAACTCCAATACTTTGGCCACCTCATGTGAAGAGTTGACTCACTGGAAAAGACCCTGATGCTGGGAGGGATTGGGGGCAGGAGGAGAAGGGGCTGACAGAGGATGAGATGGTTGGATGGCCTCACCGACTCCATGGACATGAGTTTAAGTAAACTCCGGGAGTTGGTGATGGACAGGGAGGCCTGGCATACTGCGATTCATGGGGTCGCAAAGAGTTGGACACGACTAAATGACTGAACTGAACCGAATGGCTAGTGATGTTGTTTTCATATGCTTTTGGCCATGTGTTTGTTTTCTTTGGAGATATGTCTGTTCAGGTGTTTTACTCATTTTTTAATCAGGTGTGTTGTTGTTGTTGAATTGTAGTACTTTATATACTTCTGGATATCAGTCCCTTATCAGATACATGTTTTGAAATATTTTATCCCATTCCATTGGTTGTCTCTTTATTCTGTTGATACGTCTTTTCGTACACGTGCATTTGTGTTCAGTCACTCAGTCGTAACTGACCCTGGACTCTGTGACTCTATGGACTATAGCCCGCCAGGCTCCTCTGTCCATGAGGTTTCCCAGGCAAGAATACTGGAGCAGGTTGCCATTCCCTCCTCCAGGAGATCTTCCTGACCCAGGGATTGAACTTGCATCTCCTTCACTGGCAGGCAGATTCTTTTATCACCGAGCCACCTAGGAAACCACTTTAGATACACACAGTTAACTATTTCTATGTTGCCCGATGTATTTTTTTCCTTTGTTGCTATACTTTAGGTGTCATCCAAGAAATCACTGCCAAAGCCAACATCATGAAGCTTTTATTCTATATTTTCTTTTAAGGGTTAAGTAGTTTTAACTCTTCTGTTTTGGTCGTTGGTCCATTTATTGCATGCTTTGATATTCTAGTTTTTCATGTTTCCATTTTGGCAAATTCATTCTTGAAAATTCTTTTTTTAAATCTGTGTTAAGTATAAGTAAAGATGATGAAGCTTGATTCCTTTTTTATTCACTCCCTTTATTCCTTCATCTTTGACTTTACATTTGGAATACAAAGCGGAGAAGTAGATTCTAGAACAGTGAAGAGGTTAGACTCATCTATAAACCTTGAAATTCAGGCTTACTTTTTTTCAGTTCAGTCACTCAGTTGTGTCCGACTCTGTGCTACCCCATGGACTGCAGCACGCCAGGCCTCCCTGTCTATCACTAACTCCCAGAGTTTACTCAAATTCACATCCATTGAGTCGGTGATGCCATCCAACCATATCATCTTCTGTCACCCCCTTTTCCTTCCGCCTTCAATCTTTCCCAGCGTCAGGGTCTTCCCCAATGAGTCAGTTCTTTGCATCAGCTGGCCAAAGTGCAGGAGTTTCAGCATCATCATCCATCCTTCCAATGACTGTTCAGGACTGATTTCCTTTAGGATGGACTGGTTTGATCTCCCTGCAGTCCAAGTGACTCTCTAGAGTCTTCCCCAACACCACAGTTCAAAAGCATCATATCTTTGGCGCTCAGCTTTCTTTATGGTCCAACTCTCACATTCATACACAACTACTGGAAAAACCATAGCTTTGACTAGATGGACCTTTGGTGGCAAAATAATGTCTCTGCTTTTTAATATGCTGTCTAGGTTGGTCATAACTGTTCTTCCAAGGAGCAAGCGTCTTTTAATTTCATGGCTACAGTCACCATCTGCAGTGATTTTGGAGCCCCCCAAAAACGAAGTCTGTCACTGTTGTCATAATTGAACAAAAATATTCCCAATCTGACTCTCTTAAAGTTTCTTACAAAAATATGAATATAAAGGAATAGCCAATATATTTCTCCAAGATATACATAATTGATATGAATTTTTAGATTTACGTGATAAAACACTGCAAGACCTTTAGCTTGCCTACATTTAATTGCTAAGGAGATTGAGTTGTGAATTTAATCATTTTCATATTTTTAAAATAAAAAAATACATTTATTTTTAAGGTCTATAGAAGAAAGCTTTAATCTGTCAGATGAAAGCTGTGGCCCTAACCCAGGAATTGTGAGGAAAAAGAAGATTGCAATTGGGGTAATCTTTGCATTATCCAAAGATGAAGATGAAAGTAACAAGTTTAATGAATTCTTTTTTTCACATTTTCCTCTGTTTGAAAGCCACATGAACAAATTAAAGAGTGCAATAGAACAGGTAAGCATAACCATGTTTATGGATTGTTTTTATTTTTTATTTTCCTTTGAATCTTACTCTCTTCCTTAAGCCTTGTCTTTACTCAGCTGGCAGAAAAATTAACAGACTCTGTGCAGGTACCCTACAAAGTGACATGGGAGATGCAAAGTAGACTTCAGTTCTTTTTTTTTTTTAATTAAACTTTTTATTTTGTATTGGGGTATAGCCGACTAACAGTGCTGTGATAATTTCAGGTGAACAGCAAAGGGATTCAGCCATACGTGTATGTATCCATTCTCCTCCAAAATTCCCCTCCCATCTAGGCTGCCATATCATACTGACTTTAGCTCTTTTTAAGGAGCTTATTGCCTTAAAAAAGATCTAAGGTCATTTATCCATTCAATAAAAAAATATTTGAGGGCCTATAATGTGGCAGGCCTCTTCTAGCAACTGAGGATAAGAGTGAAAAAAAGCAGCACTCTAGATCATGGGGCAGCAGATAAACGAATGTATAAGATTTTGGATGGGTAACAAGTACTATGAAGAAAAAAGAAAGGGATTTATGGAGTGCTGGATGGAGGATTACAAATTTTTATAGGATAGTCAAGAATGCTCCTGATAAAGTCACATATGACCCATAGATACAGGGAAATTAGGTATAACCATCTGAGACAAGAATTTCACAGGTAGAGGCAAAGGAGTAAGCCTGACGCTTGGGCATCAGTAGGGAGGAGTAAGGAGGCCAAAATGGCTAGGTTAGGAGTCAGACTGAATCATGTAGGGCCACACAGGATGCCATGGTGCGAGCACGGGCATGTACACTTAGAGAGAGAGGAAGCCGTGGGAGTGTTTTGAGCAGGAAAATGACATGATTTGTGAGAATCACTCTTAACTGCTGGTGGAGAATAGATTTTCTAGGGGTAAAGTTGGATGCTTTGGGGTCAGTTACAAGGCTATTGAAATATAATTCAAGTGAGAGATGATGGGTAGTCAAACCAGTTTCATGATGGAATTGGTGAGAAATGGTTGGATTCTGGATATATTTGAAAATAGAGCTAATGAGATTAGCTGATGAACTGAGTTGGAGCTGCAAAAGAAAGAATCATGGAGATGGACTGGGAGTTTTCTTCTGAGCAGTAAGATGCATAGAATTGCCAGATCTAAAATGGGAAAACTACAAATGGAACAGGTTTGGTGGAGGAAGATCAGGAGTTTGTTTGTGATGCCTCCTGGACATCCAAGTAATTGTGAGTCTAGAGTTTAGGGTCCAGGCTGAGCAGTCATCAGTATATAAGTGAAAGTGAAGTCGCTCAGTTGTGTCCGACTCTTTGCAACCCCATGGACTGTACCCTCCCAGGCTCCTCTGTCCATGGGATTCTCCAGGCAGGAATACTGGAGTGGGTTACCATTTCCTTCTCTAGAGGATCTTCCCAACCCAGGGATCAAACCCTGGTCCTCCCGCATTGGAGGCAGACGCTTTAACCTCTGAGCCACCAGGGAAGCCCCATCAGTATATAGATGGTATTTTAATCTAAGAAGCTGATTGAGAGGGAGAGGAGATCCTGATTTGTGGAGCATTTCAGTAGTTAAAGTTGGAGGAGCTAAGAACTAGTCAGGGAGACTGAGGATTTCCCATATAAGTACAAGGAAAAACAAGAGAGAGTACTTTTGGTGTAAGCCTGATGAAGTAAGTAGTCTAAGAAGGTAGGAGTGATCGGTTGTGTCAAATGATGCTGATAGTGCATGTAATAAATTGATGTAAAGAAAATTGTGAATATAAGATAGAACATAAGAGTCAATAAAAAAGGAGGAAAAGGAAAGTTTTTTAGGAGTTCATAGGGAAGAAAAATGCTTCCTACTGGGAAGATTTTTCATTTAGACTGCATCTTAAAGGAGTTGTAGAATTTTTTAAACATGATGCTTTGAAAAATGGATACAGCAGAGTAACAGGCAAAATTGCTATCTTTGCCACCCAAAGATAACTTATTAACATTTTGCTGAAACTCTTAATCAGACCTTTTCTATGCATATTGTATTTTACTTGATTGGGACTGTGCTGTGTTCATATTGTTTTTATTACATGCCTGTTTTGAAAAATTCATCCTTGTTAACATGTATATTTCTCATTATAAATGGTTCTTAAATATATTTTAGTGGCTTTCCTCCATTTAAGTAACTTTTTAATTAGTCCATATCTGCTTTTTCTCAGCTATAGCTACACTTCATTTAACATCTTTGTGAATTTTCCAGATTATGTTTTACGAGATTCCTGTAAGTTGAATCATTGAACATAAAACTAAATTTCTTAATCCCTGTGACAGAATGCAGAAAGGAAAGGATACAAAGAGTAGTAGTAGGTGGTATGGCTAACAGAGTTAATGTGGACACGATCACAGAGAGTCTAGAATGCTTGCAAGGATTTTTGACTTTGACTGTCTTCAGATTGTGCTCTAAGAAGGTTATTATGGAAACATGTTTGAAAGAGACTAGTAAAAGAAACTTGAGATGCAGGAGCAATTAGAATGGTCTAGAAAGCAGAGGGTGCATTTCAGTAACTCAGTGCCTGAGGATCATGTGCCTCTAAAGAAGGCACAATGTTAGTTATTCACACTAAATCTATTAAAAGACAAATAGATCATTAGCAGTACCTTTTCAGTGAGTAATGAGTAAAGTCCATTTTCGTTTTTCAGAAGTGCAACACTCATGACATTTTCTTCAGTTTGCTGATGTGTTTTTTGTAGTCAGTTGTTGACAAAGTCAGTACACAGAATATTAAGCTGTGGCTGAACTGACATTTCGGTTACAGGGAAAAGTGTTTAAACTTTGTATGAAACTTGAAATATTCAAGCAATACAGAACGTTAGAGGTTACTTTTTAAATGTTTTAATGCTTTGTTCATTCTGCACCCTAAAGGGCACATTGCAGTTGTATACTTGTTCATGTTTAGCAACTCATTTCTTTATAAAACTGAAAGAGCTGAGTGAATACTTTGATATAAATGAATAGAACTTATTCTATAGTTAATTAATCCTAGAATATAGTAAACATTGGAACAGCTACATAAGTTATGTTCTAGGGCTGTTTTCAAATTATCACTTATTTTTATATTTTAAATGAAAAACTATAGATTCTGTTTCTGAGCACTGTGGGAGTTATTTCAAAGTCTGCACTGCCTTTTGAGATCTATAATGTAGTTAAAATTTTTTTATTGTTCATAAAGTTAAGGAAGAATCTTGCTCAATTCTAGCCAAAGAATATTTGCTTCTTTATGTATTAGGAGTCTCTCAGCAGTTTGTGAAAGCAAAAATTGTCACTTTTACCTTATGAAGCTTTGGTATGTACATGAATGATTCTGGCCTGAAGTAGTCTAATCTCCTCTTAAATATATATTTGAACATTTAAAAAATTAATGTGTAATTACATAAGTAATGTAGAATTACATTCTCTTTGAAAAAGTTTTAAAAATTCCGAAGTTCTTTCTGATAACCGTATTCTAATCCTGATCTTCTTTTTGTCTACCAGAGTAGACAATCTTGGCTAAATATCTTCTTAAGAAAGCAAATATTACTAATAACTTGAGATATCTTTCAGTAGAATATTTATGTTTTAGATTTAAAAAAAGGATTTACTTAACAGAACCACTATTTATGGATTATTAGCGAAACTCAGGAGTTGTTACTGAGTTAGCATTTTATGATCTGTTTGGGAGAAAAGTTTTATGTAACTCAGAAACTGTCAACATCAGTTTCTTTGTGTTTTGACATTCTCTTTCAATTAAGAGGCCTAACATCAGAAAAATTTGAATTTTATTATACTCATTAATGACCAAAAGTGCAAAAACAAGCAACTAGAAATATGTGTGCCTTCTTTATACATATCTAGTTAAGAATGGTAGGTAGAATGTTATAGAAATATGTGATTTTGTCTTTTACTTTTTCCCCCATATTTTGCCCATGGTCACTATAAAATTAACTATTTGATTGCTTTCAAGGCTATGAAAATGAGCCGGAGATCAGCTGATGCCAGTCAGAGGAGTTTGGCATATAATCGAATAGTTGATGCACTAAATGAATTCAGGTACATTTTCTCCAGCCTTTCATAATATAGAATTGTTTCGTAGTATACACTGGAAAATTTACTTATTTTCTTTACTTACTCTGATAAAATATAATTCTTTAAACTTCTCTGTCCCATAGTCAAATGAGGATGTAATTCAGTAGGCCACTGATTCCTTTTTTATTAAATATTAAAAGTGCTTGGAATTCAGGCACACTTGGGAGGAGTCTGTAGTGTGGTTGCTAGCACTGGACCACTGAACAGGCAGATAGAACCAGAAGAGACCCTTGTTTTAGCAGAAATGTGCTTTGTCCTTTGTTGGGCTCCTAGATGTAGGGACTGGTTAAGTGACAGTAATCACACATTCTTAGATACATGGAATACAAAAATATACATGGATATAAGGAGTATGAACTTTGATGTTCCATGTAACTTTGTTGCTTCATCCTTTCTCTAGCAGTATTTTCTGGCACAACAAAGCTTGGTCCCTGAAGCTCAAGCAAGTGCTGTAACTGCACTGTGGTTATGGCAAGGAAACATGTTGCATATGACCTTATGTTGGGAATCACACTAAGTGACTGATGTGTTTCTGTCTCAAAGAGATTCACTTCAGTTTTACTTTGTTCTCTTATATTCTCAGTCTTTCCTCCTTTACACTAGAGAAATAGTATAACACGTAGGGCAAGAACTCAAGGCTTTAGTATCTGACAGACAGACCTGTGGCTCTGCCTTTTATTATCCTTGATGACCTTGGGTGGATTTTTTAGCATTTTTTTTGACCCTTAGTTTTCTGACATAAAATCTGTGAATTCAATTTAGTAATGGTTGAATAGATTGTTGTAAAGATAGAATAAGATAATGTATGTGAAGTACTTAGCAGAATGCCCAACATTGATGTGACCACTATTATATATGCCACATATAGCCTATATCAGTGATTTTCAAAAGTCATTCATAGTTGATGTTCATAGTATTGCCAGATCTAAATTGACCCTGTTTTGCTACCTAAATAAATGTGTTTCAAAATGAAACTTTATGCATTGTCACCCTAAATGGGAAATCAACATCCTTTGTTATAAGTAAGCTATAAAATGAGTTCATAATAATTAAAATTTAAAATATGTATCTGTGTACCACCTAAGGTTTATTATCTCCAATAGTCTGTGTACCTCACTTTTGTTCATTGACTCATCTTGTATGGCACCTTATTGGGTCAAGGATCATCTGGATTGTTTGTTTAAATATGAGTTACTGCATTTTGAAGTAAAAGGCTGTTTTAGCCTGTGATACTGCCAGATTGCTACTGTGAAACTATAGACATGTCATGTATATGCTTTTTTTTTTGATGGAAATGGCTAGGAAGTCATGTATTCATTTAGTAAATTTGACAATAAGAGAACTCAATTTGTTTTCAACTTTGATTCTTTTATATTCTTCATTTTTCTCTTTTTGTGTTAAACCACAGTGAAAGTAAATCTGGTGTCCTCTTTTAAACCTCTCTCAAAGGAGAGATTTCATTGCTTCAGCCATGTTCTAGAATCTTTAACTTAAGATAAAATAAAACATAATAAGATCATTAAGTTTTCAGCCATGTTACACTCTAGAAGTATTATGATTTTGCATTTACAATTTAGGTCTATGATCCATTTTTATTTATCTTTTGTGAAAGCTACAAGGTCTTTGTCTAGGTGCATATTTTTGCATATGAATGTCCACTTGTTCCAGCATCATTTGTTGAAAAGACTATCTTTGCTTTCTATTGCTTTTACTCCTTTCAGTTTAGTTCAGTTCAGTTCAGTCACTCAGTCGTGTCCGACTCTTTGCGACCCAATGAATCACAGCACACCAGGCCTTCCTGTCCATCACCAACTCCCGGAGTTTACTCAAACTCATGTCCATGGAGTTGGTGATGCCATCCAGCCATCTCATCCTCTGTCGTCCCCTTCTCCTCCTGCCCCCAATCCCTTGCAGCATCAGGGTCTTTTCCAATGAGTCAACTCTTCGCATGAGGTGGCCAAAGTATTGGAGTTTCAGCTTCAGCATCAGTCCTTCCAGTGAACACCCAGGACTGATCTCCTTTAGGACGGACTGGTTGGATCTCCTTGCAGTCCAAGGGACTCTCAAGAGTCTTCTCCAACACCACAGTTCAAAAGCATCAATTTTTCGGCACTCAGCTTTCTTCACAGTCCAACTCTCACATCCATACATGACCACTGGTAAAATCATAGCCTTGACTAGACGGACCTTTGTTGGCAATGTAATGTCTCTGCTTTTTAATATGCTATCTAGGTTGGTCATAACTCCTTCCAAGGAGTAAGTGTCTTTTAATTTCGTGGCTGCAATCACCATCTGCAGTGATTTTGAAACGCAAAAAAACAGTCTGACAATGGTTCCACTATTTCCCCATCTATTTACTCCTTTATCAGGTATCAATTGAGTATATTTCAGGGGCTCTATTTTTGAGCTTTCTGTTTGTTTTATTGATCTATTTATTCTTTTAGCAGTACCATGGTGTCCTGATTTATGTAACTTTATAATAACTCTTAAAATCAGTTTATATGAGTCCTCACATTTGTTCTTTTCCTTCAGTGTTGTGTTGACTATTCTGGATCATTTGCCTCTCCAAACTTTATCAAATTTCCAACACATCAGTTTGTTGATACTTACAAAATAACTTACTGGGATTTTGATTGAGATTGCATTGAAACTGTAGATTGGGAAAAGTTGACATCTTACCAGTAGTAATACTTCCTGTCCATTAACATGAGATAGCTTGCTGTTTATTTGTATCTTCTTTGATTTCTTTAATTAGAGTTTTATGATTTTCCTCCTGTAAATCTTATACATTTAAAAATTTATACATAAATATCTCAGGGTGGTTTTTTGGTTGTTAATATTAATGATATCTTGTTTATAATTTCAAATTTCAACTGTTCATTGATATATAAGAAATCAATTGACTTTTGTATATTAACCTTATATTATGCAGCATTGTTATAACTGCTTATTAATTCTAGGAGATTTTTGTCACTTTAAAATTTTCTGCATAAGTGCTCATGTGTGAATAGAGACAGATTTGTGTCTTCCATCCCAGTCTGTTTACCTCTTATTTCTTTTTCTTGCCTACTGGATTAGCAAAGGCTTCCAGTATGATGTAGAAAAGCAATGATGAGAAGGTTCGTCCTTACCATATACCAGATCTGAATGAAAAAGCTTCAACTATCTCACCATTAAATATGAAGTTAAGTTTCTTACACTGTCTGTCAAATTGAAGAAGATCACTCTTGATTCCTGGCTTGCTGAGATATTATTAATTATTGATTCAATTGTAAAAATAGATATAGGACTCTTCAGGTTATCTGTTTCTTCTTATGTGAGTTTTGATAGCTTGTATCTTACAAGGAATTTTTCTAGTTCATCTGAATCATCAGATTTGCAAGCATAGAGTTGTTCATATTATTTCTTAATTATACTTTTGATGTCCATAGGTTAGTAGTGATGGACCCTCTTTTGTTTCTAATACTAGTGATTTGTGTCATTTCTCTTTTTTACTAGGTTATCTTGGATAGAAATTTATAAATTTTCAAAGAACCTTTGATCATTTCAAAGACCCAGGTTTCGTTTTGTTGATTTTTAATCTATTGATTTTTGCCTTTAATTTCAATACTTTTTAATCTGATTTTTATTTACTTTTTCCTGTTTGCTTTAGTTTTATGTTTTTCATCTTTCTCTAGTTTCCTGAAGTTAAACCTTAGATTATTGCTTTCAAATCTATCTTTTTCTCTAACATATGCATTCAATGCTATAAATTTACCCCCAGACACTGCTTTTGCTGGATTCCACAGGTTTTGTTACATTGAGTGAAAGTTTAATTCAAAAATTTTAAAATTTCTCTTGAGATTTCTTCTTTGACTGTTATGTTTAAAAATATATTTTTTAAATCGTTTTTAAGTATTTGGAGATTTTCCACATACTTTTTTTTTTTAATTTTATAATGGAGTAAAGTTGTTAATTTCAGGTGAACATAAAAATGATTCAGTTATATATATACATGTATCTATTCCTTTTTAAGTTCTTTGCCCATTTAGGTTGTTATAGGGTATTGAGCAGAGTTCCCTGTGCTATGCAGTAGCACATAAGTTCGTTTTCTAAGTCTGTGAGTCTGTTTCTGTTTTGTAAATGAGTTCATTTGTATCATTTTCTTTTAGATTCCACAAATAAGTGATGTGATATATGATATTTGTCTTTGTCAGTCTGACTTACTTCACTTACTATGTTAATCTCCATGTCCATTCATATTGTTGCAAATGGCACTATTTCATTCATTTTAATGGCTGAGTAATACTACATTGTTTGTATTTACTGCATTGTCTTTATCTGTTCCTCTGTTGATGGACAATTAGGTTGCTTCCATATCTTGGCTATTGTAAATAGCGCTGCTGTGAATATTGGGGTCCATGTATCCTTTTGAGCCATGTTTTTCTCCAGATACATGCCCAGGAATGAGATTGCTAGATCATATAGTAGCTCTGTATTTAGTTTCTTAATGAACCTCTGTACTGTTCTCAATAGTGGCTCCACCAATTACATTTGTACCAAAAGTGTAGGAGGGTTCCCTTTCCTCCTCACTATCTCCAGCGTTTATTGTTTGGAGACCATCCTGGTTGGTTTGAGATGATACCTCATTGTAGTTTTCATTTGCATTTCTCTAATAATTAGCAGAGTTGAGCATCTTTTCTTAAAATATTTGGCCATCTGTATGACTTCTTTGGCAAAATGACTATTTAGGTCTTCTGCCTATTTTTTGACTGGATTGTTTGCTTTTTCTCCATAGGGTTTCCCTGATAGTTCAGTTGGTAAAGAATCCACCTGCAGTGCAGGAGACCCCAGTTCAGTCCCTGGGTTGGGAAGAATTCCCTGGAGAAGGGATAGGCTGCCCACTCCAGTATTCCTGGGCTTCCCTTATGGCTCAGCAGATAAAGAATCTGCCTGCAATGTGGGAGACCTGGGTTCAATCCCTG